CAGATGATATTTTTGTATGGATTTTTTGTCAAAGCACTTCAGATATTCATTGCTATCAGGATGTTAAGAGCATTCCATGGAATATAACAAAAAGTGTATCTCGAGCCGGTTTCTCAAACTTACCTACCCCACCTTTAACTTCTGTTGTTTTCATACATTTAATTCATTTGACCTTTTACTTATTTCAAAATATCACAAAACCCATTCCCCCCGGGGCACATTCTTTAACTTGAGTTTATATAAATATTTGTTTTGTTTTGTTTATCTTGACACATTTGGACTCTAGCATCTTATCCTTATATTATTATATTATTTTCTATTTTGATTTAATTTTTTTATTGGACATTTTAATTTAACCACATTTTTGCAAATATCTCATATTTTAAAAATCTTTTTATCACACAATCTTTCTTTAAGTTCCGTTGTTTTTTTATCAATTTTTGTATTCAATTTTTTATTCAATTTATTTTTCCTTTTTGATTTCCTTTCAAAACCCATACCCCCCCCCCCCCCCCCTGGATAAATGCAGTATTCAGCTTCTGATTAGAACCTGAACTCTCTTTGTAAGCACTTCATTTGTCATGTCATTTAAGAAGTCTCTGGTAATGAATCCACTGTGTTCCTGAGAGCGTGTGAGATGATGGATGAACAGATGAGAAGCATGAATACACAAATTAGGCCGTGGATAAAAATGGTAAATAAACGTGTGTGTGTGTGTGTGTGTGTGTGTGTGTGTGTGTGTGTGTGTGTGTGTGTGTGTGTGTGTGTGTGTGTGTGTGTGTGTGGTGTGTGTGTGGTGTGTGTGTGTGTGTGTGTGTGTGTGTGTGTGTGTGTGTGTGTGTGTGTGTGTGTGTGTGTGTGTGTGTGGTGTGTGTGTGTGTGTGTGTGTGTGTGTGTGTGTGTGTGTGTGTGTGTGTGTGTGTGTGTGTGTGTGTGTGTGTGTGTGTGTGTCGTATTCTACGATGTAGAACATGTATGTGTGTGTCTCTCTCTGTGTGTGTGTGTGTGTGAGTCCTCTCCATCTCTGCTGCCTTTGTTTCCTCCTCTCTCCTCTGATCTGACATTCGCTTTGTTCTCCTCTTTATTCTGAAGGCAGAGCTCATTTCAGCGGCATGATCTGATCAATAATTACTATTTCATTTCATTTAAAGGGGACCTATCATGCAAAATGCACTTTTGTACGTCTTTTATACATGACGCACACGCACACACACACACACACACACACACACAAACCTGTACACACACACACTCACGCATACATACACACACACACACACACACACACACACACACACACACACACACGCATACATACATACACACACACCATTATTCACCGCTGCCAGTTTGCAGTGGCTTTGTTTTTGAGAGCCAGTTTTGAAATGTCAAGCTTTTCCAGATTTATTCTGCTCCTGCTGCACGTCAGACAAATTAATAATCAGCCTATAAGTTCTAACCCACATCATCACTCAGCTCTCTCACACACACACACACACACACACACACACACGCACACACACACACACACTTTAAAACCCCATCACTTTCAGCACCCTTTTAAAAATGTTTTAGTATGATTTTACTTTTGTGTGTGTGTGTATGTACGTGTGTCTCAGTGTGTGTGTGAGTGTGTCTCAGTGTGTGTGTGAGTGTGTCTCAGTGTGTGTGTGAGTGTGAGTGTGTCTCAGTGTGTGTGTGTGTGTGACTCCCCTCGATGCATGGCTGCGTATCAGAGCGCTGAACAGTTGTTTGCTGTTATGAATATGTCAGAGAGTCTGATTACAGCTGTGGTTCATAAACTTTTCACTGCAGCGCACACACACACGCACGCACGCACGCACGCACGCACGCACAGACACACACACATGCCAAATAAACAAAGTAGTTGGCATTTCCTAATTTCCAGGCTGATGTTAACTCCTCAGCAGAACCTTTGTTTAGTTGATTTGTGGTAATGCAAAAGTGTGTGTGTGTGCATACATATGTGTATAAATGTGTGTGTGTGTGTGTGTGTGTGTGTGTGTGTGCCCGCCCGTCTCTCAGGCTCCATGTGAACTAATAGCGTTCTCACATCTTTGGATGGAGTGAACAATGCTTAACAGGGCCATGATAATAAGTATTAAAATCACTGGACCTGAAAGAAAACGTGATGAGAGTCTTAATTACAAAATAAAGAAAGGGGGAGAGAGAGCGAGAGAGAGAGAGATGGACAGTGGTATAAGTAGAAATAAAATGAGAGGGATAGAAATGAGAGAATAAAAAAAACCTTGAATGTGTTTTAAAAAACATCATAGATGAGGGAGATGGAGAGGACGAGGGAGGGGGTGTGTGTGTGTGTGTGTGTGTGTTTGTGAGAGAGATTGAGATGGATCAGGAGAGAGAGGGAAACACTTGGCTCTCTAATTCTTCTCTCTAGCTGTGTGGTATTGAAACGAGGTGGGGGGGCAGGCTGCAATTCTGCACACCCTGCTGAGGTTTTTGCACTCCCTTGATTTCTTTTTCCTCCATATCTACTACCACACACACACACACACACACACACACACACACACACGCACACACTCTGGATCTCATCATTAGGCTCCCCGGCAGTAATCATCACTTCCTCTTCAATCATGTTCTCTTCCATCGGACACGTTTTGCCCCCCAGAACAAATGAGTTTGAAATGACACACAACCTCTGGACCACTCCACTCTGATCTGCAGATATCAATGTAATAACAGGAGGCGTTTATCCCTTGATGGCGGCGCCCATGATGGCTTTCCTCTGTTGTTGCATGGCGAGCATATTAATGCTGTGTTGTGGGAGAGGATGTAGGCGTTGCTTTTATTCCCTCGTCTGTTTGTTCCGAACAGAATAGACTCCGAGATCCAGATAAGAGCAGTATCTATATCTGATTGTCCCTCCTTTCGGTTCTTACGCTTTTTAATTCCACTTCTTTATTCCTCTATTGACAAACAGGTAACAATGCAAGTACAATAATACGACAGAAAAGAGACCCAGAAACAGAAAGCATTTCAAATATATAAATATTTACACCTAAAATCAGTGGCGGACTGGCCATCGGGACGTTCAGGACGAATCACGATGTGGGCCGGTACCGAAGTGGGCCGGTCAATGTGGGCCGGCAGGATAAGTCACTAGCACCCCCCCCACCCCCCCCCGTTGACAATGTACTAGCGGTACCGAAGTGGGCCGGTCGATGTGGGCCGGTAGGATAAGTCACTAGCACCCCCCCCCCCCCCCCCCCGTTGACAATGTACTAGCGGTACCGAAGTGGGCCGGTCGATGTGGGCCGGTAGGATAAGTCACTAGCACCCCCCCACCCCCCCCGTTGACAATGTACTAGCGGTACCGAAGTGGGCCGGTCGATGTGGGCCGGTAGGATAAGTCACTAGCACCCCCCCCCACCCCCCCGTTGACAGTGTACTAGCGGTACCGAAGTGGGCCGGTCGATGTGGGCCGGCAGGATAAGTCACTAGCACCCCCCCCCCCCCCCCCGTTGACAATGTACTAGCGGTACCGAAGTGGGCCGGTCGATGTGGGCCGGTAGGATAAGTCACTAGCACCCCCCCCCCACCCCCCCGTTGACAATGTACTAGCGGTACCGAAGTGGGCCGGTCGATGTGGGCCGGTAGGATAAGTCACTAGCACCCCCCCCACCCCCCCCCGTTGACAATGTACTAGCGGTACCGAAGTGGGCCGGTCGATGTGGGCCGGTAGGATAAAGTCACTAGCACCCCCCCCCACCCCCCCGTTGACAGTGTACTAGCGGTACCCGAAGTGGGCCGGTCGATGTGGGCCGGCAGGATAAGTCACTAGCACCCCCCCACCCCCCCCGTTGACAATGTACTAGCGGTACCGAAGTGGGCCGGTCGATGTGGGCCGGTAGGATAAGTCACTAGCACCCCCCCCACCCCCCCCGTTGACAATGTACTAGCGTACCGAAGTGGGCCGGTCGATGTGGGCCGGTAGGATAAGTCACTAGCACCCCCCCCCCACCCCCCCGTTGACAGTGTACTAGCGGTACCGAAGTGGGCCGGTCGATGTGGGCCAGTCGGATAAGTCACTAGCACCGCCCCCCCCCCCCCCCCCCCCCCCCCCCCCCCCTTGATTTACTAGCGGTACCGAAGTGGGCCGGTCAGATATAGATACTCATATTTATATTTATCTGTACTTAAATATATGAGAACACATTCTTCACTGGGTATTTAGAGGGATTAGTTAGTGTGGAAATTGCCGGTAAATGCACTTTATACACTTAAAATCGGATGGAATGTAACATGATGACTTTAGGGTCGTATTGATTCAAGATTCAAAGCTTTATTGTCATGTTAGCAGCTACAGTGTAGATGTGGCAATGAAAAACTGAAGTCCCAGGCTCCTCCAACAGAGCAACATGAATATATATAGGACATACAACTGATCAAACAGATCAAATAGTGCAAGAGAATGTTTTGAGATGTGCAAATAAATACAAATAGAATAGAAATAGTCCAAGAAGAGTCTATATAAGTCAATGTAATATGATATATAGATAAATAATTAGCAAGATGCAAACAGATGAATGTTTATGGATGTTCTTCACAGAGTTCAGGCGTTTCATAGCGATGGATCAGCTGACATGGGGGGGGGTCATATTTGCTAATTAATTGGCTGAACAAGACCTTTCTATATTTCATATTTTTCCCTACTTTGATGTATTTCTCAAATGAAACCAAAGACATCAGAATACCTTTATTCGTCCCACAGAGGGGAGATGTACAGAGAACATTACCGAAGTTTACATAAACTGAGAGAAGATATTTCCGAATGACACTCACTTAGTGCGCAGATGATCGTATCATGGAGGCACTGGTTCAAACCCCACTGCAGTCAGCATGTCGTTGTGTCCCTGGGGAAGACACCTCACCCCAAAGCGCTCCTGTGTTCAGTATTGAATGTATGTAAGTCGCTTTGGGTTGTTAAAGTTCTCTCTTTCTCTTCCTCCCAACAGGGTCCTGCTGCAGAGGGACTACAGCTTCCTGAGAGACATCAACATCTGGAACCCCTTCGTCACCGTCGGGGCCTACTCCTCCACGCTCTCCGCCGCCATGAGCAACCTGATCGGAGCCTCGAGGATCCTCTACGCCCTGGCCCGGGACGACCTGTTCGGTAGGAGGAACACACTTTATTACTCCTGGTAGTTAGAGCAATTAGTTTATTCAAATAGTGCAGCCCTAGCCTGAAAGCATTGATACAACTGAGATCAGTCCACTTTGTTCTGAAGATCTGTGTGTGTTCTACCTTTCTACCTTTTTGGTATTCAGGGCTGGAACTTTAGGAACTTTGGTTTACCTCACCAAAAAGTTTCAAAAAGAGGCATCCTCAAATCAAAGTCGACTTTATTCCATTTCTCTGTGTGTGTGAGATACAGGGGGATCACAAGGCTGCTTCTCACCAGGGCAAAAGAATACAAACATATATATATACATTTATGTATACTGTAGATACATACACACCTGTATACACTTATATGTATACATACATATACTCATACATAGACACATATATACATATACACACATTAAGAGGTAGGTAGGTCGTCACAGGTGTGAGTCTAAACGGATAAATATGAATATATATCAGTACTACAATATATACAGTCGTGCAAACAACGGTCTTAAAGCACTAAGGACATTCTGTTTTGTCTTACTGAAACGTTAAATGCATTTTTCATATAACAGTGTTTTTATTCTTAATTGAAGTTGTAAAAATCACTGAACTCCCAGTCCAATGATCATGGTGTTTTTTAAGAGTCTAATCAAGCAGTAAGCCTCGTATCCCTGATGCTCTCTGAAAGTTTAACACCTTGAAGAGACTCAAAGTTCTCCCTGTGGTTTCACATCAGAGAATCCACGCTGCTGCTCCGTCATTAGTGTGTGTGTGTGTGTGTGTGTGTGTGTGTGTGTGTGTGTGTGTGTGTGTGTGTGTGTGTGTGTGTGTGTGTGTGTGTGTGTGTGTGTGTGTGTGTGTGTGTGTTGTGTGTGTGTGTGTGTGTGTGTGTGTGTGTGTTGTGTGTGTGTGTGTGTGTGTGTGTGTGTGTGTGTGTGTGTGTGTGTGTGTGTGTGTGTGTGTGTGTGTGTGTGTGTGTGTGTGTGTGTGTGTGTGTGTGTGGTGTGTGTGTGTGTGTGTGTGTGTGTGTGTGTGTGTGTGTGTGTGATGTGTGTGTGTGTGTGTGTGTGTGTGTGTGTGTGTGTGTGTGTGTGTGTGTGTGTGTGTGTGTGTGTGTGTGTGTGTGTGTCAGGGCTGTATGTGTGTGATTTAGAAAGGGTTAACTTAGATTAATCTCTTTAATTAAGAGTCAATGACTGTGGAACCATAAATGTGTAATGTTCTCAAAGGCTGAGGGGGGGGGATGCTTTGTATGACCACTCTGTGTGTGTGTGTGTGTTCTTGTCGTTCGTGGATGCTCACAGCTTAACCTTGTCACTGTCCTATGCAAACAAAGTGATGGATGCGTCAATTCTCCAACACACACACACACACACGCACACACGCACGCACGCACGCACACACACACACACACACACACACACACACACACGCACACACTCAGGGTTCTTCTCTAACTCTCTAATCTCACCTCTGTCCCGCGTCTCTCTCCCTCTCATTGATTTGATTCTAAAGTCTCTCTGATTTAATTCCCATCCTTCATCAGCTGTGAAATTTCGTCTCAAACTCGTCGCCTCCCTCCTCCTCGACTCCCGTCTCCCTTCTTTCACTCGCTCTTCTCGTCCTTTATTTACTCAGAATGTCTTTGCATTTTGAGAAAATATAAGTTTAAAGGGCGTACATAACAACATGAAACACAGGTGCAGCTCAGAAAACTGAATAACAATCCACAAACAAAACTAAAAAACGATGTTAATGAATTTAAATCAATAGTTAACAGAAAATGGATATGTCCTTATTCTTATATCTGAAGTTTCACATGAAGCTCATTAGTAATGTTTGTGTTGTTTACCTCGCCCATTTCTCCAATCTATCGACAAAGATATGAACTTATTTCAAATTGTCATTGTTATTTTTTCTTTCTTATACATTTAATTTACGAGACCCTCCCATTTAGAGTTCATTAAGTCATTATCTTTTAACCACACCTTGTAATCTGTTCAGTTATTCCTACTCTTATAACAAGGAATACAAATAACCTTCCTATCCATTTCTTCTGGCGTCTTTCCTAGTAGAATGTTCCGGGGTTTATTTCAAGAAATACCGTTTCTCTTATGGAAATTTCCCAGAAACCACTTAAAGGTCCCACGTCATGCTTTTCTGGTTATTCCCCGTCCCCTTGTGTTATGAAGGTTTTTCTGTAAACGGTCTGCAGAGTCACAAACCCTCAAAGTACACCCTGTAGCGAGTAAAACTCTAACACAGAAAAGACCTGTCTATGCTGCCCCAGAACGCCTGGACATTTCTCTTTTTCCATTTGTTTCTTCCGGGAACCAAAATGGACCAATCCGCGGAGCTCCTCACACACCAGGACCTTTAGCGTAAATGTTCAACTAACAGGGAGTCCCCATTAGCCGCGTTCACACCGGAGTACTTTTCACCGTACTTTTCGCGTTTAGTTCCGTTAGTACCCCTTATGTCGCGTTCACACCAAAAAGAGCACTTCATCTCGGGAACTTTTATCCCCATTTTTAGTGCCTGCTGAGAGATGGTACTTTCCTGGGGGAAAAAAGTGCCCCAGTTCTGATTGGCTGGGCGAATTGCAAACCACGCCCCGTACAACTCTGAAATGTTTTGTAGAGCCGCCATTTTATTATGCTCGCATTAGCATTATTAGCATTAGCATTCGCCCAGCGCACAAACGCAGAGAGACTAACTTATGGCAACACAAAATAAAACATGGGAGTGGTGGAGATGAGGAGGTGTCGGCGTTCTGGCGATTTACTCAGAAGGCTTCAGTAGAAGCTGCTGGGAGTCCCAGCAGCTTCTACTGAAGCCAGTCCCCAACTCCGGGGACTTCCGGCCGGGGACTTCGGGTGGCAGTATACGCCGTGAAGTTGTTTGCGGCCTGCCAGTAAACCCAAAGCAGAAGAAGACGAAGTGACGTCAGCGGCTCATTTGCGTAATCTTCCCTCAGGGAAAAGTACTCCGGTGTGAACGCAGTGTGCGAAAAAGCACACGTCCCACCGTCCAGGACGTGTTATTTACAATGTCGGACAAGTAGATCTTTCAATTGACTTGTCCGGCGGACAAGTGACGTTTTTAGCCCTCATTTATTGACAAATTATTGATAAACTCAGTTTACAAAAGGCAGAACTCATTCGCAAATTGTCCGTGTCCACCATTGTTCGTTTAGAAATGTTAGTTTCGGTTCTGCTTGTCGATTCCTGCATCTCGCCAATTCCTGCATCTCGCCGATTTCTGTACAGTTACGGGCCGTCTCCACGGCAGCGTTAACAAAATCTTGGAGGTGGGCGTATCTGAAGCTTGAGGATTTTTTGCGAGCAACCAATCACATGAATCTCCCGCCCGCGACATACGAAGCAAAAAAGCCCGAAGTAAACTGGATATAAACTCCCCAAAACAGGCGAAAACCTACCACTGTCTCTGCCACCTCCCTCCATGCCTGGCTCCTCCAGTTTATATCCCGGTAGGTCTGGTCATAAAGCACCGGGTGATTGATTCGCTACCGCTAATTTCTCCTCCATGTTTTGGAATATGAGGAAATGACCTGCGGTATGTCTCTCCCAGCATACACGCCGTTTGATTGGCTAGAGCTTGAACTGTCAGATTTGCGTACACGGGATTTGATTGGCTGACGCTTCCACCTCAGTCTCAAAAGTTGAACATTGTTCAACTTTGGATCTTGAAAATCCTGAGAATCTCCGCTCGCCTGCCCACAATGCATTTCGGCGAAAGCGAAAAAAAGTGACGTCACCCCATTCAAAGTGAATGGGCAGAAGCGTTTCAAGATTTTTTAACGCTGCCGTGGAGACGGCCCGTTAGACGGGGCGGGGCGGGGCGGGGCGTGTAGCACAGTGGCACAGTGGCAGGGTTGGGAAGCAAAATTCGGTTCCGAGTAGGAACAAATAACAATTGTCCGGTACGACAATTAATAAGAGTTGTGAGGACAGGAGGCGAGGCCGAGCCCCGCGGACCGCAGCTCTCTCTCTCTGCTCCGGATCATCTGATCGCTGCACGGTGCAGTTCAGCGTCTCTCTCTCTCCCTCTCTCTTTCTACACACAGCGGACCCGCTGCCCGTTTAACAGCCTAATCTTTGTCAAACTTTCTTATGTTCTTTCTTTAACACGTAATGAAGGTTATTAAGCGTTTTAGCTCCTACGTTGTTAATATTGACGCCATTTCCTTTATGCAATAAAGCAGCCTCCCTGTCTGTGTCCTCGCGCTGTCCTCACATCCCCCGACCCCCAGACTCGGAGGAGCACAGGGATGTCAGTATTGTTTATGAAGCAGGGTATAGAAAGTACATTATTGAAATGAAAATACTATTTATTTACAAACAGTGAGCAGCTGGGCAGCTGCAGCATGTGTATTGCAGGACATGTGTAAGCATGCAAGCGTCTTTGAGTTGTAGAAAAGCGCTAGGCCTATAGGCTATAAATATAATGTATTATTATTATTAGGCCTATGTGTTGGACATGTGTGGTTGGACTCTGTCTCACAGGCAGGTTGCAGTGTAACATCAGAGGAGACTGGGCCAATTGTACATTCTCAAACTGTACCACTTAGAACTAACTAAACAATGCAGAGATTATTTTTATATAATTTTATTCAATAACCGTAAGAAATTAAACAGTATGAAGTGATTTGTAAATAGGAATACAGGTTTGACTTAATGTTTTCATAAATATGTTTTTCTCCCAGTTTGTCATGGGACTTATTTTTACCCTCTCAAAGAACCGGAATCAAGAACCGAAAATAACCGGAATCGAAAAGCAGAACCGGAATCGTTAAAATCCAAACGATACCCAACCCTACGTATGTGTGATGCAGTAAAATCTTACCGCTCACTTACGTTAGCGGTGTCGTAAAAAACGTGGGAAAATGCAAAATTCGTTGGCGAAGAAGAAGATTCCAGTGGCCCCAATTTTTGTCCATTCTGGACAAGTGAAAAATGTATTCGGACAAGTAAATTGCCAAACTCACTTGTCCATGGACAAGTACTCTCTAAAAACTTTTTCTCACACTGGAACGCGATCTGTACTAAATGCCCTGGGGTCATAAGGGCCGGGGCTCTGAGTGCCGGCACTAAATACGGCAAAGTACTTGGTGTGAACGCGGCCATTGACTTGCATAGAGCTCCCTGGTTGGTAATAGACGATTTGGCATGGTGGAGAAATGCTCTCCGCAGACCCATGCTCACAGCGTTATAAACCTTTTTCTTACTCAATATCAAGCCACACTTATTGTTTTCACTTCGGCTGTGAGTGTTTGTGTGTGCTCAGGATGAGTTTCGCGCTGTCCCGCTGTCTCGCGGACCCAGAAACCACACCAGTAAGCCAGCTCACTGAGCAGCGAGCCTCGCAACGTCCCGACCAATCAGAGCACACTGGGAGGTGGGGGGGGGGGGGTGCAGGAAGCTCCAACAAGCCGTTTAGGACAGAGAGTGAATACACATACTATACAGAGATGCTGTATGAGAAACCAATGTGAGTTTGGAACATTGAACAAATCTATTCTAGTAGACCTCAACAATGGAAATATGATCAGTAGAAATGGCCATGACATGGGACCTTTAAACCTTTACACGACTTTATCTTAAAGTACCAAATTAAAAATGTCCTGTGCAGTGGTTTGAGTTGTATTCATCTTGTCTTTATTCAAACCTCGTCTTTGCAGATCTGCCATGAAGTTCAACGTCATAACTGTCAGGTGTTTTTCTAGAAGGATATGAGTACTGTGGCGCTGATCAATAAAATAAATATCATGAGTTGTGTAACATACAGCTCTCTAAAGTATTAAAACAAGTTTAATTTCATACATTTGTACCTTTGTTTAAACTCCCCTCTCTTACAATAACCCTCATCAGTGCGCACATATTGAACTCACACTCTCCCTCGCTGCATTTACAATTTAATTAAAAAACTCCACCTACTTTTCACTCTTTATAATGCATATATCCTTTGTTCAGAGTTCCTTCAGTAGTAGGTCGGTCTATTATAGTGCTTTTTAACTTATTCTGTATATTTTAATGTCCGTACTCTGAAGCCTAATGATCCAGAATCTGTATCTACAATATGCATTATGAGAGAAACAGCAAGATCATCTCAAGACGAGGCTGTTTTAATGTTCACACTCACGATGAGATGTGTGGGTGGAAGTGGTGTTTAAGGGACAGGTGGTGCAGGGAAATGTCACGCTGCAGGTAGGCGGGTTTAATGATAGTTGTGACGGCTTGTCAGATTTAAAAGAGATAAGAACTCCCAGGAGATGCAAAACAACAACAACAAGGTCAAAAATTACTACAGAAAAAAAATTAATACTAAAACACAGAAAGAAAAAATACAAAATGACATGGAACGACTGCAAAAAGACACAAAATGAACCCTAAAAGACACAAAATCACCACATAGAGACACACAATGTACAATAACATTACCACATACATGTAGAGACATACAAATGGCAAAGAATAGACTGAAAATGCAAAAGGGTTAAAATACCTACAGAACAGAACAGAACAGATGGAATTCATTGACTGCCCGCCCACCAAAATGTTTTGCCATTTCCCAGTGTGTGTATAAATGCCCGCTGATATTTAATGCAGAATCTAGTGGGGGAGATTCTCCATTAAACTCAAGAATGGTACTTTATTAAATTCTTCCTTTTGATGAAACGATGCGTTCAGGGTTCCTCTGACGTTGGTTTTAAAGGTCAATTCTGATATTTTAATATTATAACTGCTGCTGGAGAACATTCAGTTTCTTTAAATGTGAATATATGTCCCTCCACTCCTGCAGGGAAGGTGCTGTCTCCGGCTAAGAAGACGTCTCACAGCGGGAACCCCTGGGTGTCCGTCATCATCTCCTGGTTCCTGGTGCAGGTCAGTCACATTAACACAGGATGGAGAGGGTCAACTAAGACAGCGGTTTCCCAACCTTTTTCAACTCAGGGCCCACTTAAGAATCTAAAAAATGTTTCGTAGCCCACATTCAACCATAAACAATACGGAGGCTAAATAAACTTCTCAGAATACTTGTTATTTTAATTAGAAAAGGAGCTGGCCATCAGTAACAAACAGACAGTTTTATCACACGGTTTAGTTGAATACTCGATTCTGATTGGTCAATTCAGAACATGTGACACGTTGTTAATCCAGTAGAACAGACCGCTGTCAAGGACTGTAATGACCGTTGCTAAGGACTGTAATGACCGTTGCTAAGGACTGTAATGACCGTTGCTAAGGACTGTAATGACCGTTGCTAAGGACTGTAATGACCGTTGCTAAGGACTGTAATGACCGCTGTCAAGGACTGTAATGACCGTTGCTAAGGACTGTAATGACCGTTGCTAAGGACTGTAATGACCGTTACTAAGGACTGTAATGACCGTTGCTAAGGACTGTAATGACCGTTGCTAAGGAGGATCAAGAAAGAGAAAGGAAAAGAGGTTAAAATAAAATCTTAATAATGAAATGTTTCCACACAAATCATAATGTTTTGCGATTGATTTGGCGGCCCACTTGCTATTCCTTCGCGGACCACTAGGGGGCCCACAGGTACTGCCGGTAAAGCAGTGGTTTGCACGCATACTGTAACAACGTAATTACTTGTCTTCATCCTTTTTTCATTTTTAAAAACATTTTCTTGTTATAATAGTTATATTTTTGACCTTCTCTTACAACTTATGTCCTTACGTTGTTTATGTTGGCACCACCAATACAATTCTGATTCTCATGTTAAATATAAATCCACATGTAGTCGCCAAATAGTTATGTCAGAGGATCAGAGGATCAGAGGAGCGCTGGTTCGATCCCCGCTGCAGTCAGCATGTCGGTGTGTCCCTGGGGAAAACACTTCACCCTAAAATGCTGCTGTGGGGAGAAAATAGTGAATGCATGTTAGTCGCTTTGGAGAAACATGTCTAACTAGAGAGATGCCATTCAGCTCCACCTTCAGCTGTGTTAGACAAACACATGCAGCAATAATCATTATCTAGTTACTGAATATAGGGATTTATCAAATGCTTTGCTTTTGGTGTTTTTGGGGAAAACTGAGAAACTGAGGAGGAGGGAGAGGAGGGGGAGGATAGAGAGACAAAGAGGAGGCTGACTATCATTATCAGAGGTGAGTGTTCAAACTGAATGGCCTGTCATTATTTGCGCTCTTCCTCCTCCTCCTCCTCCTCCTCTTCCTCTTCCTCCTCCTCCTCCTCTTCACCCCTCTTCGCTCTCCAGGAGTGGACGAGGAGCAATTACAGTGAAATCGTTAGCGGCTCTGAGATCATTGACTCCTCGTTTCTCTCTCTCCCTCTCTCTCTCTCTCTCTCTCTCTCTCTCTCTCTCTCTTCCTCTCTCTCTCTCTCTCTCTCTCTCTCTCTCTATCTCTCTCTCTCTTGTCTCTGTCTCTGTCTCTGTCTCTGTCTCTGTCTCTCTCTGTCTGTCCTCTCTCTCTCCATCTCTTCTTCTCTCCTCATCTCCCTCCTCTCTCACTCTCTCTCTCTCTCTCTCTCTCTCTCTTGTCTCTGTCTCTCCTGTCTCTCTCTCTCGTCTCTGTCTCTGTCTGTCTCTGTCTCTCTCTCTCTCTCCTCTCTCTGTCTTGTATCTATCTCTCTCTGTCTCTGTCTCTGTCTCTGTCTGTCTCTCTCTCTGTCTCTCTCTCTCTCTCTCTCTCTCTCCGCCATCTGAATGATTCACTGATGACAAAAGTCTGATTGTAATCTCGTCTCAAGAAACTCACACACTGCGGGATTGAAAAGAGGGAACGAGCGGGGACTCTTAAGTCGAGGGAAAATAGACGGCAAGATCAAGGAGAGAAGCAAAACAGAGAAGTTAAAGAGGCCATATTGTGTTTTCAGAGGGTCTTCTCGTTCCTGTAGTGTGTTGTGAAGCTTGTGCCCCGATATAAATACTTATTTATATAAATAGTTATCACCGCAATAAACCGTATTTAATTTTGTCTTAATTTACATGATTTAATTTCATATTCTGTTCTTGTTCATATCATATTCTATTGACATGTACATAGTGTGGGGGGGAAACTTCTGAAGCAATAGGAGTCAGGACTCAGAGAGACGAGGAGAGCTGGAGCTTTGATGGCAAACGCTGACGGTTTATTTGGAGTTACGGCCGGAGAATTCACAAGACATGTCACAGGGCCACGGGTTGACCACACAGGGTTGAGATGCCACAATCAACTCTGAAGACCCCTCCTGTAGCTCCAGGTTTGAACTAGTTCAGAGTGTAATAATCAACATTCTTCAATAGATAGACTAAACAGCTGAGGGACACTGAATCACATGTGTTGTCGCTTATGGCTCGAGGTCATCTACACCCCGAGAAGGATGTGTTCCAGGTGTCCCACAACAATAACTATCTCTGACCGAGAGTTAGCCCGATCACAAACTGGTAACAACAAGAAAATGCTAGGGCAGCCCCTCCTTCAGGGAGATAGCGGCTGATCAAGGCTGGTCATCTGCGTCAGAGGGTGAAAGGTAAACATGTGTACAGAATGATTCCCTGACATATAGAATTTTTGCACTACTTTTTATTTTGTATTTTTGTACGTTATTATATATGTTGGATTGTTGGAGGAGCTCAGGTCAGAAGAATTTCGTTGCCATTTCTACACTGTAGCTTTGTGCTTAGCCGGAGAGCTAACCAATCAGAGCAGACTTGGCTCTTAAAATCTAATCAAAGATTGTCTGTCAACAATTTGAAAAAACCTACCAAAATATCATTTAACATTGTCTCCAAACATGTCACAGAGAATATGAATTATTACCAACAAATGAAAGATACAAGGTTCTAAGATATACTAGACTGAGTTTAAAATGTAACTGCATGACGCTAGAACAAAATAAGACTTGATCGAACAATGAAGTATTACCTTATCGTGTTGTAGTCATTTGAAAATAATTGTACGTATGTTGGTCCGTTTTTTTAGTCCCTCTAAGAATCTTTCATTGAAAAAATGTAATCATATGAAGCCAGTACTCAAATCCCTGCACACTTTCTGCAAAATACCTCCAGCTGTAACTTCAAATGCCTTCACCAAACACAGCAGTTTCCCACACCAACAATGAATCCAATTAAAAACCACAATTTTGAAGTCAATTAAAAATCAAGCCTCATTCTCTGCAAACAACGCCATTATTTCTGCAGCCTACAGTGGGGCGTCCAGTTTCCTGCTGAACAAGAATCATTCCTGCCATTTGTAACCGTATTTCTACCCGTCATTACCTCACGGATAGGAGTGTGGATTGGCTGGTAAATTGGTGGTGTACGAGCAGCACAAATCCACCTGTTGATCAAGACCCCAGACACCTGAAGTCCTGAATAGATTAAGCCAGCGTTTCCTGGCAGAGCAGCATGGCTTTAGATTTCTCATCCCATTACGGTTTAACACTCCACTGGAAACCGTCTAAACCCTGAAGATCACAGTGGGATGAATCCAGCAGGACTACAGGAATCAGTGAGTTGCAGAACAGCTGACGAAGGATTTGAGGAAGTTCTTTTCTGGACTTTATCACACATCGTTATTAGCGGTAATTGGCATTTAAAGATGCAATGTGTAGGAAATGGCTAGAATTTCAGTCTAAGACATTCAAAAGATTGTTGAGTGTTGCAGGGATATCGTACTTTTGTAAACCGACCCTGAAGTTAGCGTGTCCCTGATTCTCTCTGTTGCGCTCGATTCCCATTTAAATTTGAGTCGCCAAGAGGCTAAGCTTGGCTTCATGCTAGGGCTGTGCCATTATGGCAAAAATCATAATCACGATTATTTGGGTCAATAATTGATATCACGATTATTAAATACGATTATTCATTGACTTTGAAAAAATCCATTTATTGAACTTTAAAACAAATAATAATTTGAACAGTATCTTTTTAACTGTTGATTACCCTGAACGTATAATTCAACTGAAAAACCAATACAAAAATAAATAAAATAAATGATACATTTAAATAAATAATATCAAAATATTAAATACCAATAAACAAGATCAACACATATTTTGGAGCGCACTTCCCCAAGCTACTAAACATATATAAATACAAATAAATGAGACCAAAATTAATGAGATCAAATATGTTGCAGTGCACTGTCACAACCTAGCAAAGCTAAATAATAGTTTTTTTCGATTATGTTGTTTTCGTAATTGTGGCAGGCCAAAATCGTAATTGCGATTAAAATACGATTAATTGCACAGCCCTACTTCATGCTGTGACTCGTTTTCAATGAGAAAGTCCATACTGAAGTTTAAGAGACGGTTGATGATATTGAATTAAACAAATCAAACACACAATAACAAAATGACCAGAACGTTCAACATAACACATTTCCCCCTCTGTTATCCGCCCCCCCCGACATGAAACAGGTGACCTCAATACACAAACCACAACCATGTGACCATGGCTGGAAGTGCTCTGTTTTGTTCAGCAGGACGACCTCCACATGCTTACACAACTTGTAGGATTGTTGAAGCATAAATGCACGATCTAAAGAAGTAAACGTTAGGCTAGTAAAGAACTACACCACGTAGGGCTGTGCAATTAATCGTATTTTAATCGCAATTACGATTTTGGCCTGCCACAATTACGAAAACAACATAATCGAAAAAAACAATTATTTTGCTTTGCTAGGTTGTGACAGTGCAACATATTTGATCTAATTTATTTTAGTCTCATTTATTTGTATTTATCATATTTATATATGTTTAGTAGCTTGGGGAAGTGCGCTCAAAAATATTTGTTGATCTTGTTTATTGGTATTTATTATTTTGATATTATTTATTTAAATGTATCATTTATTTTATTTTATTTTTGTATTGGTTTCTCAGTTGAATTATACGTTCAGGGTAATCAACAGTTAAAAAGATACT